GAAGGGCCGCGCGCCTGTGGCCGGCCCTCGTGGCCGCGCGCCCGACTACTTCCCTCCCTGCGGCCGGAGCTGGAAGCCAGCGGAGCAGAGATGACCTTCCCGGGGATACTGAGCACGGACCCCTTTGGGCGCCATCCTCGGGAGGAAGTCTGTGCCCAAGGTCAATCCTGTGTCGCCGTGCCAGCACTGGCAGGCCAGAGGTTAGCAAGCCCTGAGAATGGTAAAGGGGCCCCCGGACTGTGGACCCTCCTCCACCTGCCTGAGGTCGGCTGCCTAGAGGGTGGGAACCGTATGCAAGCACACGCCCGCCCTAGCCTCCTTGTCCCCAGGCTCCCTGGCGAGGCCTCTGTGGCTCAGGGGACCTGGCTGCCCCCAGACGTAGGGGTGCCCCGGCCCCTCCTGGACCCTTTGCACCCCGAAGGCCAGGGTTGGGGAGGGGCCGGGGCACCAGGGAAGGCTGCAAAGTAGAGATGACACACACATGGGGAAAGAGCTCTGAGCTGTGGAGGACGTGCCCTGGGCAGAGATGCTGGCCATGCCCCAGGCTGCAGATGCTGCCACTCCAAAGGCCAGAGACTAACAGCCTCAGGCACTCCCAGCAGCCCCGCCCCTGCATGCTGCACCCAGGCCCTCTGCCCTTTGCCTTGTCGGGGAGGGCCAGAATCTCCTGGGCGGTCACAGTCCAGCTGTGGGACCCACAGGATGTCACCCCAGCCCCTTTTCCTGACCAGGGCCTTGCTGGCAGCGAAGCAGGGTGACAGGGTCCTGGGCCACTCAGGCAGCTATCCACACCAGCAGGCCAGCAAGACCCCACCAGCCTTCGCAATGAACAGCACTTCAAGCTGGATTTGGGGAAAATAGAAACATGGTGTTGGGCCATTGGCAGGGGTGGGAGGCAGCACCAGGGAGGGGTGCTAACGCCCCCAGGTCCACAGCCGCCAGGCTGCACTCCTGCAGCCAAATTCGGCCAGTATGTCTGCTGTTCTCATTAGCAAGGCACCCAAGGTGCCTTCAAGCCCTGGGCTTGGGGTACTTCAGAGGAGGGTGTGGGGGGCTGGGGCTGCTGCCCTCAGCCTGACCAGCCCTGGAGGCCCAGCCTGTGACACCCTCCCTGCTCCTTGCGGTGTGGCCCTGAGGGCAAGGACGGAGCCAGGGGGGTGTCCTTCCCTCAAAGAACCTCTCCACGTGGCTGCAGCATCCCTTCCCCCACCTGCATCCAGCTCACCCGTCGGATGTGGGGACACCCTGCATTCCCTGTGCCTTTGAGCAGTTTTCTGTCCCCATCATACAAACAGCCCCTCCTGTGGGCAAATGATCCCTTTAGTATGGCCAGAAGTGACGTCCACAGCCAGGGCCACCCCGTGTTCCCAGCCCAGGGCCCTGCCCCCCCAGCTCCCACGCCCCGTGCCGGACCCCACGCCTGCCTCAGGGCCGCCTCCCCTCTGCCGCAGTCAGCACGCTGAATATTTAATGTCTGACGAGCGCTTCCACCTGCTGACACAGGCGAAGTGACAGAACAATGCCGGCGGGGGACCGGCCGTCCACCGACGCCCAGGCAGGCTGCCACCCAGGCCTCGCCCCAGCCACACTGCCTGTCTGTCTGTCCGCGCGGCGGCCCCCGTGCTCCAGCGAGAGTTCCCGGCCTGAAATACATACTTCTTTACATTCCATAGCTTCGCAGGCCCATATGGCATATAAAGAAATATGTTTCCCAAGCAGGTCGAGGTGCAGAGCTGTGTGGGCTCCGGGAGAGGGTCCACCCGGATCCACGCCCTGGAACCCTCCTTTTTGCCAGGGGCCAGCACGCGTGGCCCCACCCCCTTCTGACCTCAGCACCCGCCTCCCGTCGCTCACAGGTGCAAGGGGTATGGGCCCTCAAGGCTCCTTCTTTGGCCACAACACCATTTAGCTGTGCATCAATGGAATAGAACAGAAAGGACCCAGGCTGTCACCTCCCACCTTTGCCCCAGAGAAGGGCCATGCCATCCCATCTCAGTGCCAGAGCAGAGCCTCGGCCTGCCGCCTCCTCCACCTGGGCACACCTGCCCCGGCCAAGTGCGCAGGGAGGGCTGAGTGAAGGGTCTGCAGCTGGGCAGGCACCCCACCACGAGCAGTCAGGGAGCAGGGTGGCCAGAGCCAATGGACAGCCAGCACCCCTCACCACAGGCCCAGTCAGGGGCACTAGGAGAGTCAAGACGCAGACAAGCCTTACCTGGGCAGCCAGGTGGCCTCCTGGGCAGGTCCCCGGTGATGCTGCCCCTCAGGGAGCAGCTCCCTCAAGGGCAGGGCCCTCTGGTGCTGATTTTGAAGACGTGCCTGAGAAGGGCAGTTGCAGGTGGACCCAGAGTCCCTGGCTGGTGGCTGGAAGCTGCTGGGAGGAGGCCCATGCCTGGAGGGCTCTCTCGGCTCCTCGGCCTGGCCACAGAGCGGACGCCCAGCCCAGCCAGGGGCTAGAGCTGCCTCCTTTCCCAGCTGCCTCCTGCCTCCCTCTGGGTTCCCCTCTCTCTTCCTCCCCATCCTGGCCAGCTACCAGCTCTGCCACGGCCCACCTGAACAATGCCTGTGCATGCAGGTGGCTCACGGGGGTGCCCAGGGGCCAATGGGGCACTGCTGCCTGCGGGATGCAGCCGAGATGCCCAGGGTGGCCTGTCCTCACCTGGCTCTTTGTGGCCTGCGCCCAGCCTCCACCAGGCCTGATCAATACCGATTCACAGTCAAACACAGGGCCGCCTTCCTGTTAATGAATTTCCCCATTGCTCACCGGCTTCTAATGAACCCGTTAAAGAGGGTTTAAGTAAACTTAGCGAGTGGCAAACTAAGCGCTTTGGAATACTTAATTGTATCAATGTTTTTCCACTGCATTTCCAAATTTCTCTGGGATGGAGAAGCTGAGGCCCCTCTACCCATGAATCCCACCCCGCCCCCCACGAAGCCAGGAGTTTGAGGCTCACACTGGGACCCTAGGTCAGGCCCCCAGCGAAGGAGGGGAAGCCACCCCAGCCTGAGCCAGGTCCGGGAGGAGAGGCCCCTGGGGGTGTGAGGAGCAGCATGGGGGAGGTCCACACCTGATGTGGTGGTGCGGCTGGGAAAGAGGGCCTCGCTTGCTGCAGGAAGCCTGCAGAGGAAGGGTGCAGGGGGGACGCACTGGGGGTGGGGGCTGGGCCCTGGATCCCGGTGTGACTAAGAGGTGACCCCAGCCTGAGGACGAGGCCCCTGGGCCTGAACACACCTCTGTTCTCCTGTCAGCAAGATGAGTCCGGGTGTCCCTGCGCTCCCTCCCCACAGGGCACCCCACCTGTCCCTGTGCAGACAGCCCTGAGAGGGTGTCCAGATGCCACCGTCACCCAGGGCAGGGCAGTGTCTCTGCAGAATCTGCATCGTGCAGAGGCATCTAAGCAATTTCTCAAGTCCCTGGCTGTGGCGGCTGCCCTGGGCATGGCTGGCTGGTGTGTTACATGGGGGTGCGTGGGGAGGCCTCCAAAAGGCGCCTCCACTGACAGGAAGAAGCCACCCGCAGAAAGAAGCCGAGGAGCTGTGTCCCATTTCCGTGTGACTGCTGCTATTTGTCCTCCTCACACAGCCAAGGATAAGAAAGGTTGGACGAGGCACTGCGCAGGCCCCTCTTCTCCTCTGGTGCCCGGAATGTGCCCTCCCAGAGAACCTCGCATGAAAGTGGGGGTCCAGGGTCTCAATCTCCCAGCTGCCCCCTGATTGACGAGACCTCAGAGGCTGGAGATGTGGCCACTGCACAGGCCTGGGACCCCCACTTGCTTGCCTCCCATGCATCCATATGGATGGTGTCTGGGGGTCAGAGGAAAGTTGGGGTTCCAAAGGGTAGGAGAGCCACCGCAAGTCCAGCCAGAGCCCCCATGAACTTCCACCTGCTCAGAAATGAACCACTCTGCCACTTTTCAAAAAGTTTCCCATCTTGATAGAAAAGTACCACCCTCCTCCTCTAAGAGGACCCCATGGGGGCAGACCTGGCACCATGCCCTGGGCCCCGTCCAGCACCCTGCAGCTGAGAACACCCCAGCGCCCAGCCACGCTCTCTCAGGGAGACCACCAGCCGCTCCCCTGCAAGCCCCCAGTCTCCGCCCACGTGTGCCCCCGCTGGGCACACCCAGCTCAGGCAGCCATGCTACCCTGACCGGGGGCCACAAGAGCGGCCAAAGGGCAGAGTACCAAGCAGAGGCAGCCTGGCCACGTCCCGGCGCCAGGACCCGGCGCCCCCCAGCATCTCCGCGGCGGATGCTGCAAGTTCAAGGTAAGTTTTGCCACATTCCCATCCCAGCCGCGCTTTGTTGCCGCGGGCAGGCGAACCGCGCCCTCCCCCAGCCCCCCGAGGCCGCCCCGGCCCAGCACTGCGACCCCCCATTCACCCCAGGGCGCTGGAGGCCCCCGCTTCCTTGCAAAATGCCCGCATGCCAAAGTTCGTGCATCCCGCTTGGGCGCGCCCTCCCGGCCCTGCTGACTGCTGGCTCTGCAGTTTTCCGAATGCGGACGCTGCCGTGAGCCCGGAGAAAACTCCAAAGCACCCCCGCCGGAGCCACGCGGCGCCCGCACCCACCTCGCCGCCGGCACACCCCCACCTCGGCGGCCGCAAGTTTGCGGGGCGTTCCGGCAGGCTGAGCGGGACTCACCCTGGAGCCCCTCCGGCCGGGCTGGCGACAGCGGCAGTGGGCGCAGGGTCGCGGCTCCCTGCGCGATGCGCCCGCACGGCTCCGGGGAGATGCTGCACCGCGGCAGCGCCATCCACCTTCTCCCGGAGCCAATCGCGAACGCAGGGATGGGGGAGGCCGGAGCTCCCGGTGCGTCCGCACTTGCGGGGTGGGGGGAGGCAGAGAGAAAGAAGACACCAGGCACCCCCGGTCCGCACCTGCCCTTCCCCCAGCCCTCTTGCAGCAGCGCCGACTTAGCGGGGAGGGAGATCTTGAGAGAGAGAGAGAGAGAGAGAGAGAGAGGGAGAGAGGGAGGGAGGGGGGAGGCAGGGAGGCGGGCAGGCGTGGAGGCGCAGGCCTGGCAGCGATGCGGAGTGGGAAAGGGACCTGAGCAGGCACACACCTTGTGCCCCGGCCCTGCGCCGTCTGCAGGCCGCTCCTGCGCCCCCAGAAGGGTCAGTACAGGGCTGTGGTCAGGGTGGGACAAAGGGGAAGGTCCCGTGGGTGTGCAGGCTCACACACACAGGTGGGGGTGGGGGGCTGACCCGAGGGCCCGCAGCGGGTGTGGGGGCCCCTCGGATCAGGAGCCGGCCTCACCTTTGCAGTCCTTATATACCCGGCCAAGTATCCCAAACACGCGGCCCCAGCCAAGTGGCCCCCTCGGGCCATGCTCCCTGACCATATTTAGTCAAGCAGGGGAAAAAATAGCCTGTCAGCTGGGCCGCGGCTTGCCGGCCACCGGGAGCAGGGTGGGAGCGCCAGCGCCATTGACAGCGGTCCTGGGCTGCTGTCCTCCACGCCCCCCCCCTCCCCAGGGCTGCCCCTGCCCTGCCGTCCCCCTGCTATTTTTAGCCCAGCCCCGCACAGAGGCACCTCCCAGCAGCCAGGCTCCGACCTCTCAGGCCCCAGCCTGTTCCTAGGGGTGCCCTGACGGGACCCAGGCAGCTCCTGGAGCGTGGGTGGTGGGGGGAGGTCCTGCTGCCCCCTTCCTGCTCTTGGCCTCCGGTGGGCTAGTCCCCACCTGGCCACACAGTACCCCCTTGGCTTTGCCCTTTTGCCCAGAATTGGGACCAGGCTCAGGGGGTGACAGAGCCACCTGGGTGTCCAGAAACTCCTGAGCCAGCCCCAAGTAACGAGGCCCACAGGTCACCTTGGACAGCGAGCCTGGCAGATTGCCACCCTCTACCCCAGTCCTGCAACCAGGGGGCATGTGTGTGTAGGACACCCAAGTCCAAGCTCTGGTGCGCTGGGAGCACCCCATCCGGTTTCACACCTGGATGATGTGATGGGCGTGTGCAGGGCAAAACCATGGGTCCTGCATTCAGAGGCCAAGTATCCGCCACAACTGCAGGGCCTGGGCAGGCCTCCTCGCCCTCCCTGAGGGTCCGGTGCAGACCCTGCATGGGCATGGGGGCAGTGGCCTCACTACTGGTCAGTCCTACCAGAGTGTTTGTTGCTCCAGGTCACCACACAGACCCACCCACCTCCTGGACCTGGCAGGCCTGGTGCAGCCAGGGCACAGTGATGTGGGGCCACCTCCCCATGCAGTGGCCAGGGACAGGAGGGGAGGGAGTGCGCCCCCTGGGGGAGAGCAGAGCAGGGGCACAGCTGTGGGAGGGGGGCCCGGGTAGGGTGGCAGGAGCTCGACCATCACTCCTGGAAGCTTGGGCATCTGGGAGAGGTCGGGCGCTGCTCCCAGCCGGTGGGTCCAGGAGGGGCCCTCGCTCACCCCAAGCGAGGCGGGAACACAGGGAGGTTTCAAGGTGGCCTGGGTCTGAGAGCTTTTCTGAACCTAAATCAAGTGGGAGAGCCCCCTGTGCACAAGGGACAGCACCCCTTCCCCTGTGCACACCCAGGCGGCACTCCCGCCCTCCGTCCCAGTGGAGGGGAGGAGGGGCGGGGCCACCAGAGTCTGGCCGGGGGTCCAAGGGCAGCCAGGCACCCCTGGCTGGTCCGCCCCTGAGGCTGCTGTAAATGATGCTCAAGGAACCGGAGCTGGGGAAGGAGCAGGCACAGCCATAAGTCACCTCGATAGACACCCAACAGCAGCCCCGCGCTCACAGACCAGAGCAGGGGCGCTAGGCCAGCTCCCTGAGGAGAGCTGGTGTGGGGTGCCGGGCCCCAGGATCCCTCGGACACACCAGATGACAGAGCAGTCCATTCCTTTGTCCACAGTGCCAGCATTTACAGTATTCCAGAAGCTTCTGTGCGGACTCTCTGTTGACCTTCAGATCCTCCCTGAAAGGCGGGTGTCCTGTCCCCCTGCTTTTACGAGGAGAATCGGGGCTCAGAGGGTGAGCCAACTTGTTCAAGATCACGTGGCTGGGGGCAGGCTGGGAGGGGCCAGTGGTGTGGCCCCCACTCAGGCCCCTGCTGCCTCCTAGCCCCTCGCTGTAGACAGCCGAGCATGCCTGCCTGGGTGCTATCCCACTCCAGCCCAGAGAGGCTTCTCATCAGGGGAGAGAACCAGCGCCTGCCAGGCCCCCCTTCTGGGTGTCCTCAGGGAGGCGGGAAAGGCTGTGACACTCCTGCATGTGAGCAGCTAGCAAACCAGCCCTAGTGGGCTCCCAGGCTGCCCCTCGTTCACCACCACAAGGACCCAGCCATGTGGGGCTGGCCGGGCACTGGCTGGAGGAAGGTCCCTTTGTGGCGGGGATGGGCTGGGCTGGCCAACAGGGCATGGCAGCTCGTGGGACTGCAGAGATCTCACCCTGGGGCTAGGGTCCTGCAGACCTAAATCTTTCATTTAACTTAATTAGCCCTCGCTTCAATAAGCCAATGTGATCAGTGGCTACAGTGGGGCTGTGGCGGGAGAGAAGGTAGAATCAAACAGCATGTGCACAGGGCCACACAGCCAGGGCTCCAGAGCGGCCTGGGGGAGCTGTAGGTCAGAGGTCAGGGAAGGCCTCTTGGGGTGGAACAGGGCCCAAGTGATGTTGGAGGAGCAGCAAGCGAACGTCAGGGGAGGAGCGTGAGGTCAGGGTGGGAGCACACAGTCCAGCTCAGGGCAGCAAGGAGGCCAGAGGGCTGCAGCAAGGGCCGAGCTGCGGGGGCGGGGCCGTGCCGGTGGGAATCCTGCAGAGGTTGCGGGCCTGGAGGAGGCCAGGCTGGGTGCCAGGATGGACTGCCCTGGGGGTTTGCCCAAGACCTGCGGGCCCAGCAGGGGAAGGGGAGTGGGTGAGGTGGACCCCAGGGGAAGAGGATGTCCCTCCCTCAAATGACAAGGAGGCGGGCCACTGGGGGGACCTTCAGCCCATGGGAGAAGGACCCTCCCAGTGCATGGCGTGGAAAATGGCTCGACCTCGACCTCGCTGGAGTGGGGAACCTAGGGGCCGCGCTGAAGGACTTCCCTGCTCACAGCCTGTTGCAAATCCCAGAGGGGCACCCCCAGGGATTGGCCTGGGGGAGCAGCTTCCAGTGAGGGGGCTCTGGAATTCAGGTAAGTGGAGGCACTTGTGGTTTCTGGGTCACAGGGCCCCTTACCGGGAGCTGGGGCAGGGCGGAGCAGCCCCTGGCAGCAATTTCCTGGAAGCAAGACAGTAATGGAGCCCAGAGCGCGCCCCCAGGGAGCAGTGGCTTCTGCCTGAGAGCATTTCCTGCAGGATGGTCCCTGGGGGCTCAGGGTGGGGGAGGGTCCGCACACATCTTCCAGCCTGGGAGGGGAGGGGCTGCAGTGCCCAGGAAGGCCTGCAGCAGCCGGTTCCAGCCGCCGAGTGACCCCTCAGGAGTCTGAGCCCAGCGTCCTGGTGAAGGAGGGAGGCCCCCGGAAGCCCTGGGCCTGGGTGCCACTGTGGCAGTGAGGGGTGACTCCCTGCTCCTCCTCTGTAAAGCGGGCCATGGCCCTTCCTGGGTGGGGATTGAGGCCTCAGCCAGGGGGCCACTGCTGCACATTTTCAGGGACAGCCCCAGGCAGGCTCACTCATCCCCAGGTCTTTAACCACACAGAGCAACCAGTGAATGTGTGAATGGCTTAATCAACCCGCTGATTGATCCACCCGCCATTGCCATTGCGCAGCTGGCAGCCCATGGTAGGTGGGGGAGTATGGCTGGAATCACGCCGGTGAGTGTCCAGTTTTGGGGATGTGAAGGAGGCTGGGGTCTTATTTGGAGGGGGAGGGTCAAGGCAGGGCCAGTGCCCTTGGGAGTCGCCCCGCATGCCAGAGGGTGCCCGCCTCCCCAGAAGGACCCGGAGCTGTTTTGGAGCATGTCCCACAGTCAGTAGTGGCCCCTCTGACCAGAAGACCCGGCTCTCCATCGCTTCGCTCTTCCACAAATCCTTACATAAAACAAAACAAATCGAAGTTTTAGTTTTACATTTGGCTGTGCCAGCGTGATCTCGGCAACGGCCTCTCTGCTGAGAAGCACCCTGCTCACCAAAGAAAACAGCGGCAAAGGGCTCACACAGATACTTCAACAAGGACACAGAGGTGGCCAGAGGCCCCTGAGAAGATGCCCAGTGTCACTCACCATCCGGAGACCCAAACTGCAGTGAGACACCACCTCACACCCACCAGGGTGCTTGTGAAAAACAAAGGCCCAAAACAGGAAAGTCCCAAGTGTTGGCGAGGCTGCGGTGAAATCAGTGAGAATGTGCAATGGCGAAGCTGCTGCGGAAGGAAGCAAGGACAGGCGCTCAAGCTCCGGTGCTCAGGCACACAGGGCCCCTAAGCACTGTCTGTGAGGAGTGGGTAAACCCGTACGGAAAGTGGTATTTGGCCCCAAGAGGTTGGAACACGCAGGCACACGCCACGACCTGGATGAATGGGAACCACGGTGCCGCGTGAGCACAGACACAGAGGGCCACGCGTGTGAAGCCACCTGCGTGCAGTCCACAGAGACAGAGCACACGGTGGCTGCTGGGGCCTGGGGGACACTGACCACTTAATGGAACCTGGCCTCCTTTGGGGGGAGATGTTCTGGAACTGGAGAGAGGTGGGGGCCACACCACATCGTAAATGTGCCAAATACCACTGAATCATGCACCTAACGGTGGCTGATTTCATGTCACGCGAATTTCACCTTAATTAAGACAACAAAAGAAAGGTCAGTGGAGCTCAGGGCCCAGCCCCTCTCCCTGTTGAGCCTCAGCACATGGATTCAGGGCCGCCCAGGCCCTGGGCACAGGCTCTCCCAGCTGTGAGGGCCACACCCCTGCTCTCTGGGGGACGGCCACTGACTTGACCCCAACGGCACCTCCTCCCAAACCCTGACACCCACTCCCTTCGAGCAGGCCAGGAGGTGGCTGGGCTGAGGCTGGCCGTCCCAGAACCACAGACTTGTTGGGGTGCTGTAAGGGACCTCCGCCACCCAACCCTGTCTGCTGCTGAAAAATCCCCCAAAGAGGTTCATGCGCTAACCGCGGAACCTGAGGGTCACCTTACGTGGCTAAAGGGATGTACAGAGGTGTTGGAGGCAAGCACCTTGACCCTGGGTGGTCCAGCTGGGCCTATATGGAATCACAGGGTCTTAGGGGGAGGCAGGAGGCCAGAGGCCGAGGAGCAAGGCAGGATGGAGCCGGGGTGGGAGAGAGGCTGGAAGCCGCTAGGTTGCAGCTCTGAAGATGGGGAGGGGCTGAGCACAGGCGCCTCGAGGAGCTGGGAAAGGCCAGAAAAGACTCTCACGGAGCCTCGGAGAAGCCAGCCCTGCCCACGCCTGGATTTTAGACTTCTCAGCTCCAGAACTGGAGAGAATAAATTTGTGGTTTTTTTAAGCCACTGATTGTGCGAACATTTGTTACAGCAGCCACAGCAAGCTCATCCCCCCTACAGCCTCCTGCCCAGGAAAACTCCCCACCTGCCCACCTGGAGCAGGACAGAGCCAGAGCTGGGGCGGGCACAGCCACGGCAGCTGTGGAGCCTTCCCAGAGAGGCCCAGCTGCCGCGGGTCAGGAAGACCCCGGGCTGGGGTGGGGGATCGGCCAGCATGAGGGGGCAGCCTGGGAAGGGCCCCTCCCAGCTCTTGAAGGGGTGAGACAGCCAGAGGATGGTCTGCCCGCGGGGGACTGGCCCTTCCCTGCTGGCCTGGCCTGGGCCCCAGGCTGACATAGGGGATGCCCACAGGCCAGCAGGACTGCTACAGACTGATCCCTGGGCTAGGCCTGGGACCCCTTCCTGCCGAGGCCTGGCTGAGGTCACCAAATGCCAGGAACAGTCTGGGCTCTGATGGGCAGGCAGTTCCTCTCCTGCCTGGGTGGCAGGACCACAAGCTGTGAGGCACAGAGGGGCTCCTGGAGCAATGTCCGCTGGTGGGTACTGTCCTCAGCACGCATAGAGCACATCCGTCCACGCAGGACTTCTCAGAGCCTTCATGAGGCCAGTGTGTACTTTGAGGCCCCAGCAGCCAACCTCGGCTGACCGTCCCCAGCCCTGGCACACACAGGCACACTGCCCGGAGGAGGCTGTGCATGCTAGCGAGGCCCGTGAGCAGAGATGCAGGTGAAATGCTGGTGGGAAGAGGGACCCTGCCTCACTGCAGGAAGACCACGACCCCCTCCCACCATGCCTGGTCGGCCGCCTGCTGCTGGACCTCACTGTCCAAACAGTCCCGGGCATACGAGCACACAGACATGCAGGCATGCACACGCACACACATGCACACCTGGATACACAGGCACATGCACACATGCACATAGCAAAACAAATGCACAGATGTTATCAGAATGGCAGCAGGAAGGCCTCCGACCACTCGTAAAGAAAGTCGTATTTCATTGCCATGGTGTCAGTGGAGAGCACTTGTCACCAGGACGTCCCATCCAGGGTGGTGACAGCTTTACCGTCATCAGGACGTGACTCGCTTGAGGATCCTGGTCCACGTGGCACCAGCTGGAGCCCCTGGGAGGTTCATGCAGGGCGGCCCCAGGCCTGCCGCACAAGCACACACTCCCAGAGCTCCTGGGGGGGAGGGGGAGGGCAGGGACAGGGGCATGTGAGGGCCAGACTGGGCAAGCGGGGAGCTGGGGGCTCCCTCCCTCTCCCCCTCCTTCCTCTCTGCACCCCGTGTGTGCTGGGCGTGATGAGGCTTTTCTGCATCTTGGAGCCCCACTGCTGTGGAGGATTCACGTGGACTCATCTTAGAAGAAAGTGAACTGCCAGTGGAAACCAGGAAGGTGGGCCAGACTGGTCCCTGAGCCCCACCCCTGGGCCCCTTGTCCCCTCCCTGCAGACGTTCCACAGGGCCTCTCGTGGGCTCCCCACCAGCCCTTGTGGAAGTATTTTTCTGGGTCAAGAGACAGATTCCTGATCAAAAAGAAGAGGAGATGGGAGTGGGGGAGATTCGGGGCCATTTCTGGTTGCATTTTAAGAAGTCCCGCCTTAAATGTAAGAACTTACCACAGCAGAAAGCTCCCTTGGCTCCTGCAGAGATGAGCCATCAAACCAAGCAGTAAAACAGAGGCTCATGGCACTGCAGGCATGTCTGGGGGACTGGGCAGCTGGTGGCCCTTCCTGTCTGTGGGCAGCCCGACCCTCTGTGGTGGGTGCCTCGCCTCCTCTGTGGGCCCCCCACCCTGTTGTGCTCATGTCTGGTTGTCCCAGCCGTTCTTTAGCCACTAAGAATGGCAGTGGGAGGCCTGGCAGGGGCTTAGTCTGCTCTGCAGGAGTTTGGGGATGAACATGGCCCTGGTGGCCAGTGGGCCAAGGGAGGCAGGGGCAGGCCACGCATAGGAGGGCCCCTGTGGTGGGCTGGTCAGGCTGCTGGGTCAGAGGAAGGATTCCAGGCGACCACGCCCATCATCCTCCGTGTTTGCAAGCAGAGGCAGGCCAACTCCATTCCCAGCTTGTGTGAGCTGCTGGCTCCTCAGGCCCAGGTGTGGGCACACAGACAGATTAGGCAAGGGCACCCATCTGGCTCTTCCCTGGTGGAGAAGTCCTTTCTACTGTTGCTCTTCACACCTTCCTTTCCATTCTGAGCTGAGCAGGGCTCCCCATCTCCTGTGTGAGAAAGGAATCCACCAGCTGTGGAGAATCGATAGAACCAGGCCTTCAGACCCCTCGGTGGCAAACCCATTCACACCAGAACGTCACCCCTTGATACTGTTGGAAGCAGGGACAGCGTTTCGATCCAGGTGAGCGAGCATCAGTCTACCCACCCGAGCACAGACTCCAGAGAAGTTGTGCCAAGTGGCCGACACCTGGACCCTCCCCGTGGACTGTCCCCTTCCTGCCAGCTCCAGGCACATGCAGGGCCAGTGGCTGAGGGGGTCTCCTGTTCCTGGCCCCCTCCCTGCCCTTGGGCCCTGCTGCAGGGGCTGGAGGGGGCACCTCAGAAAGCCCCTCTTCTCTGGAGTAGGCAGCGGGCTCCAGGGCTGCACAGGCCAAGCTGCCCTTGATGGGTGCCCGGTGACCGGCAGGGCCCTGGCCCCTGGTCATGCTCCTCAGGAGCAGGTACTCAGATCCCTTGAGGCTGCATGTGAGACCCTGTAGCCCCCCGAAGGGCCTCCTCCTCAGGGCATCCCGGGGCCCGAATTCTCCTTACTCATGAGCAGCAAGTCTGACCCCTCCCCGGGGAGCCCAGCTGGAGCCCTGGGATGATGGGGGTGGCCTCGTCTCCCTGGCACATGCCCTGCCCACGTCCTTGGGGAGCTGACAGGATCTCGGCCACAGTTAGCTGGTTCCCTCATCCCTGCCCCATAAATAGTCATTCTGGGGCTGTTACAAAGGGGCTTTAAAAAAACACCACTCATCTGGAGAAAGGGACTGAAGGGTGTCCAGACGCACACTGCCAACCCCAGTCCCACTGCTAACGGCATAAAAAGTCGGCACCATGGAGGTTTTGCTCCAGGGTTGTGTGTGCACTCCCTGGGGTTCTGTTTAATCTGGGATGGGAGTTTTGGGTTCCTTGCATGTAACATTTATAACAGTCACAGTGCGCTCAGGATATGCAGTGCACAGGGCCATGTCCTCCGAGAGGGTGGCCAGCTGCAGCCACCAGGAGGGTGTGAGGGCCGCCTGCAAGGGACTTCCCTCAGGTTCTGCGCCTCCTGGGAGTTCGCTCTGCGGACTGCATCCCTGCACCTCTGCCTCCACTCCCCCGGGGCCCTGGGGCCTGAGCTCCGCCTGGCCCCCAGTGTGGAGGAGGGCGAGGACATGCCACGGGTGTCTGTGCCAAAGGAGGTACCAGGTTGGATCTGCACCGAGCTGGAAGCCCTCCAGTCCAGACTTCCGTCCAAGTGCTGGCTCTTCCTGTAAATGCTTCAAGTGACGGGGCGCTCAGTACACCAGAGGCCACCTCTGCTCCTCAGAGGCAGTCCTCAGCCTCTGGGAGGCCAAGGGGGGCGCCGGCAGTGGTCACATAGCACCGATGCCGAGCACCGGCTGGGCAGGCTGCGCACCAGCCCAGAAGGCTCCCAGAGCATGCCTCGCCGGATGGCCTCCCAGCTCCGGGAGATTCCAAGGTGACGGCTGGGAGGACACTACAGACTGATGCCCGTGCAGGGGGACTGGCTCAGAGCCCCTCCCCAGAGCCGCTCTTCTCACGGTTCCCCCTTGTAGGCAGGACCCTCTGGCAGCCTCCTGGTGCCAGCCTGCTCCCACCAGCTTCGGGTCTGTCACAGCTGCACCCCAGGCTCCGGACCCCACCCCCCGGGGCCCTGCCCTCAGTGATGCGGTGGTGCCTCCTGTCCCTGCAGGCCATCTCACACCAGGCCTGGCAGGGATGCTGGGAGGCCAGGGGGGCCTGGGCCCAGGTGCTGGGGTCCTGGGAGGATGCTTGCCTCCCCACTGACGACACAGATTTCCCTGGCATTGGCTTGCAGATGCTGAGAACTAGCCTGCCCTGGGAGCTGTCCTGTTTAACAAATGGATCTCTGTTTGCTCCTGATGGATGGCTTTGCCTGATCATAAAACTCCAGAGGAAGTCAAATTCAGGTTCCCAAAACCTTGAAGATATTCCATGAATTTATTATGTGATCTGGCAAATTATTGAATCCTTACATATCTTCAACAGGCACAGCAGGCCCGAAACTCCACATGTCCAGTGGACCCGGGGGCTTGCCTTCTATGGGTAATGACCCCACCAGAAATGCTCTTCCAGGAACTTGGCTGGGAATCCAAAATCCCAGGGAGGCTCTCCCAGGGTCAGAGGGCAGCAAAGCCTGAGTGGCCCCCCAGAGTCGCCTTCCATCCCTCTTGGCCCAGGGCCTCCAGCATTTTGATGGTCAGCCCTCCCTCAGGCTCCCTTGGGCCCTCTCTGGGGAAAGAGGGGCTCAGAGTTCCCAACTTCCTTTGCAAGCAAGCCTGTGGGGGGCAGAAGCCCTGCCCCTCACACGCATCCCCCATCACCCTTCCCTTGAGTGCCGACAGAGCCAGCCAGTGTGGTGGGGAGTCACTCCCGAGATTCAGGCACTAATGGATCGGCTGTGCGTTCATCAGGAGGGGCAATGCTGCAGGGCGGGCCCGGCCTAACCAGACAGGCCCTTTAAAAGGAAAAGCATCAGAAACGCTGCCACACTGACCTCAAGAAGGAAGCCGCAGCCAGGTCACGGCCTGCCCTCCGGGGCCGGGTGCCAAGGATCTGCTGCAGCCTGCAGCCTGCAGCCACAGACAGCTGGGACCTCCGTCCTCCAGCCGCAAGGAAGTGAACCCCCCAACAACCTGAACAAACTTGGAAGAGGTCCCCGAGCTTCCGAGGAGAGCCCAGCCCCAGCCACGTTTGACTTCAGCCCAGTGAGACCCTGCGCGAGGAGCCAGCCACACCGTGCTGGACTTCTGAGCCGCAGAGACTGTGAGGTAATAGACGGCAG